ATCCAGAATTAAGTAAATTAAGTGTATTTAACATTAATTTGAGTAAGCAAATAAGATAGTTTGCCAAGTGAATGAGAATTTTTACTCTTAAAATAAGATGATTAGAAAACATGCACTTGAAATGAGACACTGAAATTGTTTTTTCTTATTTTAAATGTAAATTGTCTTGTTCAATTGGCAAAACGTCTCTTTTACCTCCTCAATTCAGGAACAAATGCACTTATTTTAACAAAAAAATACTTATCTAGATTTCCATTTTTTCCAGTGTAATGTTACGCTACATGCTATAGGATACATCGGTGTATATGTGGATTTTCCCGGTTAGTTTATGTTGTGGAACATCTTCCCACAGCCGGAAAACTGCTTGTTTTTGCAGCCAAATGCTACAGGTGTAGGCATTTTGAATGTGTGTGGGAGTGGGGAGAACCAGCATGGTAGACAGTGGCTTCATGTTTTTGGGGCAATCAGCAATCCAGTGAATAAATAGAGATCAGTGGTTAAAGCCTGCTAATTATCCCTGATGGTGGGTTTTCCAGACGTTCTTTAAGCTTTAGATCCTGAGCTGTTTCCCAAACCTAAACCAAGGTGTTCCTGTTTTATCAACACATCCTTTGTTTGGTTTCACAACAGAGAAGTTATGGTGATTGTTGTGAAGGTCTGACTCTGATTCCGGATTTAGAAAATCACCGCTCTTCTTTAAAGACTCTTCTAAACAACAAAACAATGTTGTTTATAGTAAAGGAAGTGATGTTTTTTAATAATAGTAATTGAAAATAACAGAATCTACTTGTAGATTAAAGTCCTCCTGGTTACAGAGCACAGATATCGGTAAATAAAACTGAACTGAAAAGGACAGAATATCTCTTTTACTTCATTTAACCCTTTATATGTAGGACAAGTTAATGTTTTTGATCACAAATGGAGTCGCCCCATCCTTCAGGAAGGTTTAGAAACACACTCTTTATATCCAGCCTTTCAGCAAAGACACTTCTACATGGCTTTACATGTTATTTTTGCATTTGACCAATTATATGAGCCCTTGAATGATTTATTACCTACTGTAAATTAAGTTGAAAAGAAGTGAAAAAGTAAAAAAAAAAGATAAAAAGCTAATTAATAAGATAAGAAGTTAATAATCTAGTAAAAAAATGTAAGTGCCCTGTATCAGCATTAATACATTAAGGCTATGTTGTAGCAAAATAAAGAGTTTTGTTCAGTCTGTAAATGTTTTCCAGGAATATCTTGTAGAAGTACTTTTGTTATTTTTTGTTATAAGTTGTAGGGAAGTCATATTTAAATGTCAAATCATTCTGGCTTAAACATTTATATAAATGTACTCTTTATCAGATGATATTGTCCCAAAATTTAGAGCATTTCTATTTAAAAAAAAATCCTGTCTTAAAATCTGTGTTTTTTTTCTGTTATCTTATACAGGCCAGCTAGTTATACGTCAGCCTGAACACCTGAATTCAGCCAATCATATATCAACGGGCATCTGTCAATCAAATGTTTTCAGTCATAACATCTTGATTCATAAGTCGCAGCTAATATACGCAACGGTTGAAATAAGAAATAAGAATAATTTCCTTTCCCATTGAGTTCCGTCCCAGTGTTCACGGGGATGGAGGTCTGTGTCTTCAGCAGGCGTAGAGCTAACAGAACTGGCAGCGTTGCGAGGCAAGGGCTCAAACATGTACGGCTGTAAGCCTTCTACACCAAACCAAGCTTCTGCCGCCCTGCCGTCCTCTTCCACAACAACTTAATCCCCGCTTTCCTCCTCTAAATAAAAAATGGATGACGGAGGAGACTCATCCACGACCTCCGACACTAAACTCTCCTCCTCTTGCATGTTTACGCTGTCCATAGCGTTCTTGACAGTGTCGTTTCTAAGTCACCAATTTAGTGCTACTTGGTCCCAATGGAATTTCCCATTGGAAACCTACTAGCGCTAAGATGCTAACTGGTTAGCAAGATGCTTCAGACAAATCGGCCACAACCAAAATTGCTTGCGAACCTTCCGCCACAACAATTCCGCCCCCTTGATAAACGACCAATCGCAATCACTTTATTCACTCGTGTAAAGTCGTGCTCCACTCGGGAGAATTCAGAAATGCAACGGGTTGGAACGGCCGCTTCCCTGCGACTTTAACCAGGAGCTATTATTTAGAAACATGTTCAGAGGTCGTCTGGAACACGTCAGATACGTTGATATGCGTCGGAGTTCTTGATAAGTTATTCATAAGTTACTCATAGGTTTGGGATAAGCTAGACACCATGACTTATGAGTAACTTACACTGAACGTATGTCAACGATCAGACCTGTAACTTATGGCCAAGTATAGCATATGCTGGCATACGTCTCGACGTACTCGCCTATGTCAATGTGTGTCAGCTTGTTTCAGCATGTTCATCATAACTTATAGAAGCGCACCCATAACTTAACTTGCCAGACGTACGCTGGTCTAAATATTCGAGCTGTGTCAGGGTCATAACATAACGATCACTTAATGAATGTTGATTGAACCACTGGAATTTGACTGATAACAGGTACAGACAGAGTTAATTGATTTTGGTTCCACGTTCCCTGCTGTCTGAGTAGCTCGCTCCTGAAATCAAAATATTTTCACATGAAAATTAATTTTTTCCCAAAGGTCATCTACAACTTAAACAGTTCTCCTTCTACATGTGTAGCTTGATGTGCTCATCTTCCAGTGTCTGCCGTGTCTGATGGACTCACTTAGGCTACATTCGCACTGCAGGCCTTGATGCTCAATTCAAATTTTTTTGGGGGGAAATCCAATTTTTTTTGCGTTGCTGTTCACATTTCCAAATATATGCGAATTGTATGTGATCTTTTTTGTGAACGGCAGTCATACAATGCAGGTGTCCAGCAGGCGCGGTAGAGGACGCAACAACATCACAGGCCAGCGTGCTCTGTGTTTATGGAAATAAACATAAATGGCAGTGCCGGAGCATATCTAGCGATCTTTCCCAACCATAGAAACACAATTTTTTCAAGATGTTAGAACATAAATACTGCTATTCGCATCATCGTCTGTCATGGTTGTTGTTTTTCTGCGGGAAGCCAGAATAGTGGCCTATGTCGGCTATTAATGGCGTTCAGGTCAGATGAATGCGACCTGGCTGCTCAGACACAGGTCGACTCGGTCGCTATCATAATTTTTCTCATTTCTTTTGCTCTAATTCTCCAGCCTCTCTGAGCTTTAGGATCTTGGTAAATTTGAATAAAAAGTCTGAATGAATGAAAGTAAACTTCGAATCAAATGGGTTCATGTTTTATATTTAAGCAATGAGGCGTATAAGATATTAAAGCCTCCTAAATAATCCATCCACTGGCATTCCACATATTGATATTCAGCATACTGGAGCAGCTGTGGTTTGAAGCTAAATTATTCATCTATTCCTAAAGGCCTTTAATGATGTGATCCATCATTAAATATTAAAACGGGGTGTTGGCAGTCTTTAAAGAAAGACTTTTGATTTGTATCTAAGAAAATAGTTTCTATTTTCCTATAATGTCTGAGATTGTTCCAAAAAAGTTAAAAAAAACAATCCACTGGACTTTGTTTCCAAGTTTTAAGACGTTTTGCTTCCCATTCAGGAAGCTTTTTCAATTCAAAATGTCAGAAATAGCGTTGAGTTTTAGGCTTTATAGAGTGCACCAAAAACAAATCCTTGTTTTGGCTTAGAAAACATGCAAATTGAACCGGAAGAATGGTTCCACCCCTTAGGAATGGGGATGGACCCAGAACCCGGACTAACAACCAGAGAGAACCCAGACAGTTTGATTTGTTTCTTCTATGCTAACAATGTTTTTAATCCTTTTATCCTGTTTGCAGGTAAAAGTAAGGAGGCAGAAGTGAAGAGGATAAACAAAGAGCTAGCCAACATCCGCTCCAAATTTAAAGGTAGGTTAGCAGCTGCAGGAAGCCTTTGCAGCGCAGGCTTCAGGACAGAGAGCATTCAGGCAGGTCCTCTGAAGCCATTTATCAAAAACAAAGTACATGAGGTCGTTTTTTAAAATGTTTTTAGTTTATTGAACCAAAATGAATAATGAATAAACAAGCTAATAACAATCTGTAGGTCTGTGCATGTTTTGGTCATTTGGTTTTTTGATTTTTTTTTTTTTTTTTTTTTTTAGAAAAAAAGCTAGTTGAAACACATAAATGTTCATTAAAATACAAGTTATTGTTTTTTTTTTCTGTGTCAAAAAGGAGTGAGAGTATGACGGAGTATAAGGGCCATGCTAGAGATTTTTTAATTCTTGTAATTTTATGGCTATTGTCTTTGCGACTATTCTTGTAATTTTTTGACTTTATTCTTGTAATTTTTTGACTTTATTCTTGTAATTTTACAATTTTATTCTTGTAATTTTACGACTTTATCCTCTTAATTTTGCGACTTTATTCTCTTAATTTTGCGACTTTATTCTCTTAATTTTGCGACTTTATTCTCTTAATTTTATGACTATTCTCATTGCGACTTTATTCTTGTAAATTTAAGACTTAATTCTCGAAATAAAAATAAAAAAATCTCTAGCTTAGCCCTAATAGCCTGGCCCTACTTCTCCATAGTAGTAAGAGTAATTTAGAAAACTGTGTTCCTTTTTTTAAGTTGATCAACAAAAACTGATATTACTATAAAACAGAAACTTTTCTATCAACAGCATTTGGTCACTTTTTTCACAAGAGCACCAGAACCTGACAGGATTCAGATATTAGTGAGAGAGGAAAAAAATGTTTGCAACAAAAATTCAGATCTTTATAGATCTAATCCAATCAGATCATCCAGTCAGAATATAGCATAAATGCACAATACTCATAACAGCGCGTAATCGCAGCAAAGTTACATTTGCGCATATGTTTGAAAACTGAAATTTACACCAAGCGCTGAAGAGAATGCTCTACAACAACATTTAAATAACAGAGCAAAGACGAGCTTTTGTGCCACGGGTTAGTAAATTAAACAGTACCATGTGTAATAGTTATGAACTTACAGTGGATATGATCAGAACCATCATCGGCTTGTGAGTTGACGAGGTTAATGTGTGAAGATGTTTGGATTCCTCAGTCTTGATAAATTGCTGCACAAATTCAGACCATTTAATCAACTTTGATTCAAAAATCGTAACCTTTCTTCTCATTACCTACTTCTTACATCTGTACTGAGATTTCTGTGGATGTTGTTTTTCCATTTCTATAATCATAACAGAGTCTGATGAAATTTTATTTACTTTTCCTTTTTTAAAATTTGCATAACATTTAGTTCTATTATCAAAGGACAAAATCCATTCTCTGAAAAAAAAGAAGAAAAAGATTTTTTTTGGCAGTTTTTTTTTTTTTCATGTAATTTCGTTTTTTGGTGATTGAAATGTACCCATATTACTTTTGCTCATTCCTTTTTTAAGAGAAAAAAAATGTTTTGCTTTTATTTTATTTTATTTTAAAACAAAAATCCAAAAGCCACATGTTTGTTTTATTTTTCTTAATCCTTTTCTAAACATTCAATCAAATTACTAAAAGATACACTGACCTACTTGTTTTTCTGTTTCTTTTTCTAAAATTAGTTTCAAAGAAAATATCACTCTTATACTATATAAAATATAGAAAGAAACTGATAAAGATCGAACATATTATTTACTTTTTATTTTGTATTGTGCTTTTATAAATATATGTATTGTATTTTAATTTTTTGTTACTTCTTTTTGCCATTTACAGTTCAAATAAAATGCACCATAAAGTTTTTTCTCCTAAATTCCAAACATTTATTTGATTATAAATGTAAATTTACAGAAAATATTTCCCTTTTGATAAAATTATGAATCAATAAAAGAATCAGTTGATTAATTGATTATTAAATCGATAGTTGCAGGCTTACAATAAAACCATTTTAACTAATAAAGTCAGCATTCATATCCGTTCAGTGCAAACATTTTTGTTTTTTGTTTCTAAACAAAAATACCCAGCTTCCTGAAATAGTTTGAGTCTACAGCAGCTTAATGCAAACTGCTGGTTTTCTTGCTGCTGTTGTTTAAAAGGAAAGAAGCCTGTTTCACTATTAGGCGAGCTGTGTGCTGAGGCTCTGATCGTTTTATCATTTAAGGTTGGAGGTTTATTGTTTATTGAAAATGTAAATGTTAAGGCACAGATATAATCCTCGCCTCTCTGAGGGCATTGAGCTTCCATTAATGTCATCTTTGCTGGTATGTTCACTGTGTGTTGCTAGGAGACAAGGCTCTGGATGGATACAGTAAAAAGAAATATGTCTGCAAGCTGCTCTTCATCTTCCTTCTGGGCCATGATATCGATTTTGGACACATGGAGGCCGTCAACCTGCTGAGCTCCAACAAATACACCGAGAAACAAATCGTGAGTTTTTTTTTTCCCCATGTTTAATTGTTTTGCACCAGTCTGTCAGCCAAACCTGTCTTCCGTGCGATTAACAGATCTTATTTTGTATTTTCCCCCAAAGAGAATGTGTTTTACTTTGTAACAGCGTTTCTCTACCTGTCAGACCCATGAAATTAGAATAGAATAGAATAGAATAGAATAGAATAGAATAGAAAATGCCTTTATTGTCATTCCAGAAAAGTTAAAAACATTTCACCGGACTTGGTTTCCAAGTGTGAAGATGTTTCGCTTCCCATCCAGTAAGTTTTTTTTCAATTCAACATTAAATTCTGGTGTTACAGCAGCAAAAAATTACAAAGAAAATGGTCACACAAATGTGTATAAAAATAACTTAATAGTCAAGAGTAAACAAAAATAAACAGATAAACATAGCCAAAGCGCAAGGGGGAGCCTATTGGAGAACTTGCGGAAACTTCAGTGGATGGTCACGAGAACTTCGGCGGCGCCGGTGGGAGTGTTGTGGAGTCAATGTAGCGAACCTCCTCGATTAACCTTTCGTCATAGTTGTCCATTGTACATGTTCCTCGGTTTTTAAAAATGCCGCTCCCCGGCACCGAATCGAGAAAGACGTCCACACAGACAGCCAGAAACGCATACCAAGGACCAATCACAGCTGCTTTTAGACTGCGCACTTCCGCTTGAGGTCTGCATGGGTTTGCGACCATTGACGCGTAGTTATGATTTTTTTTAGGTGGGCGACGATGGTTGCAGCACCAGAGAGACAGATTTGACGGTTGCAGAGGCTATGTCTCAGAAGCATAAATTGGCCTTAAAGTGCTGCTGAATATCAGCATAATCCGACTAAAAAAGAGGGTCTATTGGTATCGGTGGTAAGTCCCCCCCTGCAGAAGATCGTGTTTGGTGTGATCATCCTTATTGACTCTAGATGAGCGCTGTCTGACACGATTTTCTGTCTGATCGGATGCAAAATTGGATTCTGAGTTTGGAGGAATTCAGTTTTAGTCACATCATGGGTGTTTTCGATTTCAGCCGCTGCATCCCCTGAAAATAAGGAGGCTGGAGGAGTTCAGCTATGGATTCAAACAGTTTTAACCTTCTTTCACCGCCCGTATGATCTGTTGCCTGTTGAGACAAAAAACGAGCAAAGAATGGACGCTTAACTTCTCACTGTTGTTCTGTGTGCTAATTACATTTGCAGGGGTTTAATCCTCACACTGTAGAGATATTATAATCTGAGTTTATATGTCCGCCAAACCCATTTGCACAGGAACAGATAAAACCTTTCCATAAACCAAACCCGCCACATATCTGACTCACATATTTTCATTATTTCAGAATGAACTGTTCACTTACTTGAAAAATTTTAAACTGCATTTCCAATATTTGCCACTGTTTGGCATCATTTTACTTTTTACTCTGAGCACGGAGCAGCTGGCTTGCTTGGACTCGAAATTAATCATGGGATACCGAAGGCTATGGAGGATACATCGGACCCGTCCAAAGAAGGCTGCATTAGTCTGCAGCATAACCAGGAATCTTACAGTCCGAATAGACCTTGGTGCCGCGCTGTGACATAATCGGCTGACAAATCTGGCCTTCGAAGGACGCAGCCGCTGAATTTGACCTCGGTATACATTTAACAAGAGCAAGACACTAAAATTCTTCCTCCAGGCTTTTAGGTGGCAGTACACTTAAAGGGGGTTAGCCACCAAAAAGAAGGGAGACAATCAATAAAATCGCCACCGCAACACTGGTTAAAAATAATTGCAATTTTATTTTAGCCAAAATGGTTGAAAACCTAGTTGTTGCTAGGTTACAGTCAGACACCGTAATCATAAAATTTTAGACATTCATAAAAATACTAGCTTCCCTACCGAGCCACGCGATTTCCAGTGATTATTCTGCTGAGCAGTGCGAGGAACCTCAACGTCTGTCGTTGTTTCCTGTGTCCGTAAGCCCTGATTAGACAAAAGTGCATTCACCTAAGGCTGCCTTCTTCACCTGACTCTCTCGATGTTATGGGCGTAACATCAAGATCATAATTTAATATGTCGACTCTTTGCTTTTGTACATAACAAACCACTAATTGTTTAAAATTATTTTTGGGTTATCCATAAGAACTGAACTTTGCTGAATCGAGCCACAAAACTACTGTAAATACTGTAGCAGTTTCAGCTGACGCTCTTATATGTGGCGTAGTAGCACAGGCACACTCAGTAGGGTTAAACAAGTGCACCCTTTCCGAGGCTGTCCTTTCTATTGGCTGGAAAGGTTGCTAGGCGACGATCCAACTGCAATCTGAGAGAGAGCAAAAAAAATCCGCAAGCAGAGCCTACGGGTTTGCAAGCGTATCTGAGACTCGTGCAGAGCGCGGTTTGTGCGCGAAGAGAAGGAGGCAAGCGAGAGGAGAAAATATCTGTGCAAGAAGCATTAAATCTGAGAGAAGAAACAAAGAGAGAAGAGAAAATATTTGAGGGAGAGCACATGTTTTGAGTGTGAGCATTATAAGTTTTGAGTGCAAGAAGATGAAATTCTTTTCTCAAATTGAAATTATGTGCTCTTGCATTATGGCAGGATAATTCTCCCATACATGTTGGTTTGCTTCTTTACTTCTTGAGAGCAGTAGTACTGTGGATCAGCACTAGGAGGCGATACATCGTGCTAGCGTGATGTGTAACACCATATTTAAACATAGCCAGGTATTTAGAGAAAGAAATATTTTCCCTCCTCCGTTTTCAATAATAACATCCTGAACACAACATTGTTTTACATAAAACTTGTCATTTACATCAACCCGCATAAATACACTGTTGAGTGCCATAAAAACAGTAAACATCAGGCGCTCACATGACGTTAAGGATTTTATGGCGCATAATGTGACGTTTAAGAAGCTAAAAAGCCGTTTATCCTTGTGGAAACTGCAGCCCATAACCGCCGTTATCAGAAATCTCCACTTTGGCCGGAGGTTTTAGAAATAATCGTTTTCTGTGATTAAAAACAAGGTTTTCATGTAAATGAGAGGCCAAACCGCAGAGTAAAATCTACGTTTTCCCTTCGTGTCGACGGGGTTTAAATGGTGTTAAGAAACAGAGCTCAGGACGGTTAGCTGAAGGCTAACGTGTAAACAGCTAGTTCCTCCATAGAAGCGCCCATCTTTGTTGGACTGTTGGCTCCAAATAAGGCGCTGTCCGTGTGGGAATAAACTAAATATATCATGCTAAGCCAATTCCTTTTAATTTAAGATTAAACAATTAAGATCACATAGTTAGATCAAACTATCAAACAACAGTAGTTTTTCTGATGTTTTCACTTATTCCGGTTTTTCCATCATGTGGCGCTTATTCTTGTTTCTTTCAGGGCTACTTGTTCATCTCAGTGCTGGTGAACTCCAACAGTGACCTCATCCGTTTGATCAACAATGCCATTAAGAATGACCTGGCGAGCCGCAATCCCACCTTCATGAACCTGGCTCTGCACTGCATCGCCAATGTGGGGAGCAGAGAGATGGCTGAGGCGTTTGCTTCGGAAATTCCCAGGATCCTGGTGGCGGGGTTCGTATGAAATGATTCATTCAGACAGAAACAGAGCTTCTAATTGCCGCTGTTTTCCTAGATTAAGTTCTTTTTTCTCCTGGGGCAGGCTTTCCTCTAAACCAGGGGTCTTGAACATTTTCTAAACTGATGGTGAGATGGAACGGGGACCCCCCAATTATATATATAGTATGAAACGGTGTTATATCAAACTGGTCCTATGGTAAATTACAGATGGAGTAATGTAACTAAAGTAATATCTCCCTGGGATTATTAAAGTATTTCTGATTCCTGGTTGATGGGACAGGTGTTGTGAATGAAACGGTGCCCAGCTTAAAAGTTCTCCTGTGTGTCGCTGAATGTGTGCATTGATGACTGAAAGACATCTTCTGCCTCCATTTATCTGTTTACTACAGTATGTTGAATTAATGTTAACGTGGATTTAAACACATTCCAATTAGTAAAAATAAATTGCAGGGGGGAATATAAAAAAACAGTTAATAAAAAAACTAAAACATTATTTGAAAAAAAAAAGAAGAAGAAATGATCAGTTGTGTTAAATTATTTCGTTTTTTGAAAAAAGAAACATTATGACAATATAAAATCTAAAAAAAAAATGAAGTTGACATAATACATAACAGAAAATTGAAAATAAAACAATTTGAGAAAAATGCAAAAAAAAAAAAAAAAAAAAAAAAAAATTTTTT